CACCTATAAAAGTGAGAAATATTGGTGAGGAATGAAAGCATTGAGCTCTGTGTGAATCTATTTTAGCTCTAGTGGCATTTTAGCTTCAGCAACTATTCTGTTTACACTCTGCCATTAAAGGAAGTAATTCTGCACTGTCAATCAACTCAGTATTACAACCATCTCACTGATATAACCCTGAAAAGGGCCTTTATCTAAAGGTTACCTCGTATGGGCTTTACACTGTTAGTGCACTAGCATGTGTGTGTTTGCGTCATGTGCAAGGGTTTAAAGTGTCAAACCAACCATGATCTATAGGGTCCAGTGCACTAATAGTCAAGGGTTCCAGAGAACATAATTTGGTGTGGTGCAGTGTATTGGTAATGGTCCTGTCTGTTTTCCTGTCCCATGAGAGGAATTTGATTCACTGTATCCAAAAGACACAAGACAGAAGTGTGTGTTTGGTTGACTCCTGAATTCATAGAAATTGACATCAGGTCAAATCGATCAGTAAGACTTTATTTTTGTAAGAAATTACTGTTTATTTAGCAAGGATGCATTAAGTTAATCAAAAGTAATAGTAAAGACATTTATAATGTTATGAAACATTATTTCAAATAAACACTGTTCTTCAGAACTTTCTATTGCTGGAAAAAGTACCATAGTTTCCACAAAAATATAAGCAGCACAACTGTTTTCAACATTGATAATAAGATTTATAATTTTTAAAAATAAATTAAGGCTTTTATTCTGCAAGGATGCATTAAATTGATTAAAAGTGACAGTAAATTAATTTGCATGGTTTCTATATATATATATACTGTGTATATTTATTATGTATACATAAATACACACACGCATGAACTGTATATATTTCAGAAAAAAATGTTATGTTTATATAATACATATATTTATTTATAATATAAATTATATGAATATAAATATAGACATGTAAATATTTTCAAAATACATATTGTATGTGTGTGTATATCTATATATACACATAATAAATATACACAGTACACACACATATATTGTCACACCTACACTGTTGGATGAACGATGGAGACAAGGTGACAATCAACTTTAATCTTTTAATTCTCGAAACACAAGGGTAATCCAAACAAAGGAGCGAGGAATGACACATGTACGGAAGAAGTAGACCCGACGGGAGAAACGCACAGACTAGAACTAAAATACATGGGATAATTGGGGAAACACAGGTGCATAGGATAAGGCAATCAAACTAAACGAGAAAATGATCATATAAGTTAAACCAAGAACTACGACGGGTAAAACATGAAAAAAAACAAGTCCAAAATACTGACATTACTCCCCCCTCCCAAAAGGCGGGTCCCGCGCTGTAACATATCCACCGGGGAGGTACAGTATAGCTGTACAGGATGGAAACACGGGAGGCCTCCAGGGTGGATCAGGGAGCTCAGGGGGCCACAGCAGATCAGGCAGACTAGGAAGCCATGGTGTAGCAGGCAGACTAGGAGGCCATGGCGGAGCAGACAGTTCAGGAGGCCATGGCGGAACAGGGTCTTTAGAGGCCCTCCGTATGCCTAACTGGGGAACTGTGGCCCTCCCTGGGCTTGACTTGGGGACTGGAGCCCTCCTTGGGCAGAACATGGGGACTGGAGCCCTCCTTGGGCTGGACATGGGAACAGGAGCCGTTTCTGTGCTAGACTCGGGGACTGGAGCCCTCTCTGTACTAAACTCGGGGATAGGAATCCTCTCTAGGCTAAAATCGGGGACTGGAGCCTACACTGGAGCGAGCTCTGGGGCTGGAGCCGACACTGGAGCTGACTCAGGGACTAGGATGAGGGCTGAGAACGGTCTTTTCCTCCTCATCCTCCTCCTTTGGTTAAGGGTGAATGGCGCGGCCGGCGGGCTTGACTTCGGAATGGCTGGCGGGCTGGAGAGAGCCGCGGCCGGCGGGCTTGAGTGAGGAACGGTCGGCGGGCTTAACTGAGGAACTCCTCAGGAGTACAATCAACAGTCTTTTAATTCTCAAAACACAAGGGTAATCCAAACACAGGAGCGAGAAATGACACATGTACGGACGAAGTAGACCCGACGGGAGAAACGCACAGATAGGAACTAAAATACATGGGATAATTGGGGAAA